GGAGGAGGAGGAGGAGGAGGAGAAATCAGAATTCAGCAAAAGAAAGGGATCAACCATCACGAAGATGGTGGGAGAGGAGAGTAGGGGGACGAGGACGAGGACGAGGACGAGGACGAGGACGAGGACGAGGCCGCAGGATCTGTGGAGCGTCTCACCGATGCCCGATTGTCTGCTCCGAACGTTTCCGATGCCGTCGGTTCCTGTCGTTGAGGTTCGCGAGGCTGTTTGCTGCCAGTCGGATACTTGAGACGCTTTTTCTGATGCAGACCAAAGTCATCAACCCTCTTCCGTGCTGCTCCTGCTCCTGCTCCTGCTCCTGCTCCTGCTCCTGCTCCTGCTCCTGCTCCTGCTGCTCCTGCTCCTGCTCCTTCAAGCCATCTGATCTGCTATCTCCTTCTTCGTACTTCGTGGAAGTCAACGCAAAATTCTTCTCCTTCCCGCCAACCCCGCCACACCCGCCCTTCCTCCTGCTCCTGCTCCTTGTCTTCTTGCAATCATAAACCACCACCTCCTCATCCTTCTCCATCAGATTCTCTCACTCACATGCAGCATCTCCCGCTGCCTGACTCTCATCGCCGCTGCTGTCTTCTCCTGCACCTTCACGTCTCAATTGCCTCCCTTGCGACCTCCTCCATCGTGACCTGCAACGACGCGGCGACAGACAGAAGCTCCTGGTACGTCTTGATGTCCTCGATGAAGAGCTTGGTGATCAGCTGCAGAAGCCTCATTCTCCTCCCTCCTTCTCCTTCTTCTGTCCTCCTTCTTTCCCCCCTCCCTCCCCTTCCTCCTTCTCTCTCTTTCCTCCCCTCTCTCCTCCTTCTCTCTATCGCCTCAATCTCTCTCTCCTCCTTCTTTCTCTCCTCTTTTCGCGAACTCCTCTTTCTCCTCCCTTCACCCCCCTTCCCTTTCCCTCGTTGCCATCACTCACCTTGATTTCGTTCTCCATCACCGATTGTTTGTTTCGCTCCTTTATCGCCTCGTCCTTTGCTCTGCTTTGTCGTCCTTTCAACTCCAACAACTGAAATCCCAATCAAAACATTCTCCCCTACGTCTCAACATCAGCAGAAGCAGCGGCATCATCATCATCATCATCATCATCATCATCATCATCATCAACTACTACTACTACTACTGCTGCTGCTACGACGACAGCAGCAGCAACAGCAGCAGCAGCAACGACAACATAAGGACCTCTTAAGAGCCATTACAATGATACCAGCAACTGAAGGTCAGAGGTAGCTTTCAAACTTCTCCGCCAGAGCTCTTCCTGCTTCCCATCCTCCACTAATTCCCTCCACGAATGGAGGCAAGAAGAACGCCCTTCCTCCTCCCTCCTCCGCCTCTTCCGCACGACGTACATCCTGCAGCAACGAGCGTTTCTCATCGCATCCAAGCTCTCTGCAAGACATCTCCTGCCACGTGCTAAAGATCAGTGGCAGCGAGACTGTGAAGAAACAAATCACCTCCTCCTCTCCTCTTCCACAACTTTCGCTCGTTCCCCAGCTCTGCTCTTCCTCTTTCGACGGAAGGAATACTCGAGTAGGCAGGCAAAGATTCTCCTGCCCGCTAGCAGCTCTCTTGATCGCTCCAGCCTCTTCAGGTCACTATGGAGCTCCTGCACCATCCTCATCGTCATTCCTCCTGCCAGGAGCACAAACGTCTCCTCCTCACCTCGCGCCTTGCGCTACCTTGTTGGAATACGGAGAAGGTTTCTCTGAGAACACTTGCACGACCTCGACTTCGAAGCTTCTTCTCTCTGCCCCTCTCCTCCCTCCTCTCCCTCGCCCACCCTCCCCATCTTGCAACGCTCCTGATCATCAGAAGCTTCATCTCTCCCTTGCACGTTATCTTGCATGCGGAGCTTCTCAGATGAGCATCTGACCACCTTGACAGGCATCGCCGTCCGATCTCGTCCACCTGCTCCATCCTTCAACACTCCGCTCCCTCCCTTCATAGAAGTGTCTCACCTCCGCTTGCTGCGCTTGCTCAATCGCCATGGCTGCCTTCCTCAGGTTCCTACTCCTCTCCACCATCCTCAACCAAGACGAGAGCATTTCCATCGTGAACCAAGCTCTCCGCCTCCTCCGGATTTCCTCTGCTGCACACCTCCTCCTCCTCCTCCTCCCAGCACCCTCCTCCCATGCCCATATGCTTCTCCTCTGTGTCTTCTCCCTCCACTCCCGCACGATCAAGTTCCCGAGGACCTCCCACCCCCGCTGCTCTTCTGACTTGGATGGAATTTCCTTGATGCTGGCATCGGACGACAACGATATTCGCCATCCTACTTCTCCTCCTCCATTCATTTCGTGCTCCTGCTTGCCCCTCTTATCCTCCCCCTCTCCACTCACCTCTTTCACCTCCTCCTCCTCCTCCTCCTCCAGTCTATCGATCTTTCCTCCGGCGCCTCCAACAGTGGCCATCTTGTCGCCTTGCAGCACCGAGGAGCTTTCTCCTTGCACCCACCGCAGAGACAAGGGCGAGGAAGAGGCAGAGGAAGGGGACGCAAGCCTGACCTCCCGCGACCTGGCTGAGAGGGAAACCGCAGGGAGGAGGAGGAGACCTGGGGCATCGGCTACCCACGGGCTCTCGTAGCAAGACGCCTCCTCTTGCTCCGGCAGCATCAGCGCCTGGACCACCTTGAGCGCGTCCTCGGGCAGGCTGCGGTGGAAGCGAGGAAGCGCAGCAGATACTTTGTGAAGTTCGAGCTGGAGGGAGAGGATGAGCGATTCTTTCTCCTTCACGTCCTCCTGCAGCTGCAGCAGCTTCTCCTCCCTCTCCCTCTCCCTCTCCCCTCTCTTCAGCTCACTGACGTCCCGTTGGTACAGGAGCCTGTGCAGCCGCGCAACGGTCCCCTTCGTCTCCTGTTCCTGCTCCCGCATGCTCCGGCTGCGAGACAGACACTCGTCAAGCACGCTCTGCAACCTGCTGATGCCTTCTGCTGCCTGCTCCTCCTCCTTCCCCACGTTCATCAGGACAGTCTCGCTCTCGGCTCGTTCCCGCAGCAGCTGCGACATCTTTTCCCTTGTGGAGCTCAGCTCCTCCTCTAGCTTCAGGATCGTCTTTGCACTCACAAAACGCTCCTCCTCCTCCTCCTCTTTCTCCTTGTCCTCTTCCGTTCGCCTCTCCTCCTCCTCCTCCTCCTCCTCCTCCTCAGCGTCCCTCCTCCTCCTCGCCCCCTCCACCCATCCTTGCAGCTTCATCACGACTTCCTCTACCTTGCACGTGAACCCCTCGAGAGCTCTGATACAAGACGATGCTCCCTTGACGAACAGCCAGCAGTCTCGCTCAAACCTCGTCATCACCTCCTCCACCCTTCGGATCACCTGCGCGGCCTCCTCCTGCTCCTGTCGCATCCTCGCTCTCATCTCCTCGTGGGCATCGGAGTGAGCTTGCAGGATCCGAGTGAACACCTCAACGCCCTTGCTGATGTCGTAGGAGGCGAAAGTTTGCTTCTCATCCCTGGGACACATGGAGATGAAGTTTGCAACGTGTGTAAAGATCTCAAACATCAGCCGCTTGTCTGTCATGTCCATCACAGCACAGCACTGACGAGCAGCACAGCACCTGCGATCTCCTCCACAGCCATCCTCGTCATCTTCACCCTCCTCGCCTCTCCCCGACGATGCACCGTCACTGACAAGCTACTCCCCGGCACGTCCGGTCCGATCAGCTTCTGGTGTATGTTGTCCAGGTCTACTTCCTCCTCGTCCACCCGCGTGATCCTGTCTCCTCGCTGAAGCTGCCGCGTGAGATGTGCGGGGCCTCCTACCACCACTGGGCAGCTGAGTGAGAAAGAAAGGATGCAGGCGTTTGCAGCAGCATAGAAGATGCGAACGAGAAGATGATGATGGGGAGAGGAGGGAAGGAGGAGGGAGGATGTGGGAGGCGAAAGGCGAGAGCTGGGAGCAGGGGGGAAGGGAGGGAGAGATGACAGACAGCAGCAGCAGAGAGGAGGAGGGGAGAGGAAGGAACAGTTCCAAAGCACATCAGCTGGCAAACAGTTGCGCAAGCTTGTTTGTTACTTCCATCAATGGTGGTTCCGATCAGCATTATTCCGACGGTTGTCGCTGGCTCTTTCCCTCTTATATCCATGTTCCACGAGCTCCTGAGACTCTCGCCCTCGACCTGCTCCCTTTTAGATCTCAAAACTTTGCTCCTCCGCTCCTCTCTCCCTTCCTCTCTTCCTCTCTCCCTTTCCTTCCTCTCTCCCTTGCTCCCTCTCTACCTCTCTCC